GGATTATTTTTTTTTTATGATTTGCAAAATTTACAGAATTTTGCAAACCGCAATAAATTGTTTAGCCAGAAATGAGAATCGATTTTAATTCGATTAACGATTAAAACGATTATTATAGATCGATATACAACTATTACCGTAGTGCATTGACCAAAGTATCCCCTTTTTCAATATCCCCCTTGCAAAATACCCAGTGCAAAACACGAGATCTCTAGTAATTAAATATAGGTTTTTTTTAAAAATTTCTGTATTGCTTATCATGAATGCTGAGTATGTATATAAATGAAACTTCTTTTTCTTGCAACACAGACCCACTGCTGTATAATATACCGGTCTTTTGTAAGTTTTTTTGACGGGTATTTTGTATTAGACCCGGGTCCTTTGATCAGTGACTACGGTACATTATAATAACTTGGTCATGTAAATTGGCTATGATCTAGAATGGCAAGTGCTAATGCTAGATAAATTTCTTTTTTCGAAGCACAATATTATGAAAAAAGATGGGTAATTATTTTTGAATCAGACCAAAATGTTATTACGGCATAAATATATAAAATTAGTCCGGGTTAGTGATGGATGACGAAATTGACGAAATTTGACGAAATAAGTATTTCGTCAATTTAGTCATTGAGAAAATAATTTTGTCACCATCTATAATTTGGGTTCAGAAATATTTATCCATATAGGAAATTGTATGCAAGAGTATGTAAAATCATCGGAGTTATATGTGCGAGTGATACAAGCCAAAAAGAGAATTAACCAATCGGAGAACGTAAATTGGATCTGCGTGACGCGTTCAAAAAGCGAGCAAAAAGCGAAAGAAAAACGAAAATACGAAAATATAAAAAGAAAACAGACGTTTAAACATGCTTTGATGCACTAATTAAAAATAGCGAGAATGAAAATTTACATTAGTGAATAATAATTTATCGAATCCCGATAGTCTCAAACTTTAATGCATATCTCTCAACTTTTGATTTTACATCATACGTACGTACGTACGTACGTATATACTTTTTCCTTTTTGCTGTTTATAGGAATGATGTACTGAAAAAAAACTATAAATAAACTTTAAAAACGTTTAGCTGGCAAACTAATGAAGACCCAATACTGTGAAATTCCACCCTTTATAAAATAAAAACAGAAAATAAAACCATCATGCAGCAGAACTTTTCATATTGTAATCATTGTGGACGAAAAATTATTGGATTTCCTATAGAATTTTGCCGAACAGATTTGTTTTCAAAATATGGTAATAAACAACAGAGCAAAAATAGAGATATAAACACATTTATTAAAAAAACTAAAGTAGTATCTGTAAATTGCGATGATTTTGTTGAATGGATACCAATTTCTGAGATTGAAAATATAAAATCACTTGAACAAAGCGGATATTCAAAAATATGTTCAGGTGTATGGAAACCGTTTAAATCGAGAAATAAAAGCATTTATGAACAGGAAATGCCAAGCTTAAATGTAATTTTGAAAGTTTTGAAGAGTTCGCAGAATTTTGACAATAAATTTCTTAACGAAGTAACTATAAATAATAATGTTCACATGAAAAGTTTTTTTTTACAGTATTATAATCATATTGATGCACATATATATTAAATATACATATAGTTTGAAATACATTACAAATGCCTTGAGATATGCGCTATACCTTTTTATGGGTTGACAATGCATCCAGAAACATCAGATTATTCTATGATAATTAAACAAGCAACACAAGGAGACTTGCGTAACTTTATACGTTCAAACAAGTTTCGAATCTCATGGGAAGAAAGAGCAATAATACTTGTAAACATTGCTAAATCTTTAAGTTCACTTCATCAGTTAGAATTGGTTCATCGAGATTTTCATAATATTCTTATTGACGATAATATGAAAGTGTTTTTTAGTGATTTTGGTCTTTCCGGATCAGTAAATTCACAAATAGGTATTCATCTCAATCACATATTATTTGTATAATTTGAAATTTAATTCTATTATTTTATTTTCTCATTATTTTCTCATTATCGATATAGGTAGGAATGAATCGATCGAAGGTGTTTTACCATATATAGCGCCTGAAGTTCTTCGTGGCAACCCTTATACAAAGAAATCAGAAATTTTTAGTTTAGGCATTATCATGTGGGAATTGGCATTCTTCACACCACCGTTTATGGATAGGTCTCATGATGTTCATTTAGCCATTGATATATTATCAAAGAATTTACGGCCATTAATCACGGATAGTATTCCAAAGTTTTATGAAAATATTATGAAGCAATGTTGGGATAAAGATCCATCAAAAAGACCCGATGCAACAAAATTAGTGTCATTATTTGATGAGATCATAGAATTAAGTAAAGATATTGATAAATCACAAACTTTAATTATGTTAAATAACTTACAACAAATATCCAAAAAAGGTAAATTATTAAATATCGATATATTTTTAAATCATTTTTGTGAATCAGAATATAAAATAAAAAAGTCCTTATTCGAAGAATTGCTTCAATAGTAGTCAAACTTGAGGAATTTGAAAAAGACGAAGCAGGTACATTATTAAATCAGTCATTATTAGATCATTCATTTACTCGAAATGAATTTTAAAAATTGGTTTTTATTATAGGAACCATTGATGAAGGTAATTTCGTCTATTTTATAAATTACATCAAATTTTAGAAAAACTTGAACCTTATCGTATACCGAAATGAAAATATCATTCTTAATGGCAATTCTTAAATATATGATTCAAATTCGAACGTGAAATACAATCCCAATACAATAGCTAAAAATTAGAATTTATACCGGATCACGTTGTAGTCATATTAATTTAGGACACTGAAATTTAATTTGATTCATGCTTTATAAAATAATTTTTAAAACTTTAATTCATTTATTTTTGTAGATTACCAAACTAAGCAACTTGATTACGATTTGCATCTTGAACAACGTTCGGAAGGATTTTTTATGAGTGTTAACAGACCATCTTTACCACAACAAATATTGAAAGAAATAATACAAAAGGTTTACAAATTTTGTCATGCAAAAAAGAAGAACGAGCATGTCTTTAATGATAATTTTGAAATAGATAAAAGATATATAACTCAAAAATATAATTTTACATCAAAAGGTAATTTTATTTAAAGTATGAAATATTAAATATCTAGTTACTAAATAATTTTAATATTTATTTAGATATATTGAAATTATTGAAAAAGAAATAGAAGACATTTTGTTTATTAAATTATAGTTTAATCTACTTATCTAAGAACATTTGAACTAAATAATTCAAAAATGCAACTCACTCTCGTTATCGTTATATGTAGTGAACTTTCAATATAGTAAAGATTAATTAAAATCTTGATATAATAAATTTTTAAAAAGATTGTATTAATGGAACGAATAACTTCACTATAACGAAAGTGAGTTGCATTACAATTGAAGAAAAATCATTAAATATTATATATGCATTAGTCAAATAAGTTTGACGTTAACAATATAATAATCCGCTATATATATATATATATAGTAAATAAAAATTCACATTCATTACTAATATATGTTCTTTACCTGTTTTTCATAGTATAAACCAATTAATCGATACTATTTCTTAGTGTTGGCTAGAGACAGATTGCCGGCGAAATGATTACTTGTGAATTTTATCAAAATCTTTGTACAATATAGTAAATATATTATGGTGTGCTAGTAGTATTACCACTGTGGCATCTGGCACAGATTTTAACGGAAAAGCATGCTTTTGAGTACCTGATTCACGGGCGTTATTTGTGACTATATGGTACATCAAACAATAACTTGAATATTAACCTGTTTAGATTAGATGATGATATTAATATATAAGAGGATTGATAACAAAGAGTTTATTCAAACGAACTCTTTATTTTTTTTTGTTTTTTACTAACTGCCTTTTAGTTTTTAAGTAAAATTGTAGAGGCAGTCTTACGATTCTAATACTGGTAAGCAGCGTTTAAAATTCAATGTTCTCGTAGTTCTCAAAAAACATTCAAATTTTTTAAGAAATTTATATTTAAAATAAAATTCTCTTATTTTAAGAACATTTTAATTTTTCAATTCTCAAAAAAAAAAAAACAATATAAAAGTTATTCAAAACGAGTTTAGGGTCGACCTGAACCCAAATTGGCTGTATTTTGATATCTATAAATTTGTATTATGCACTGTATAATTCTATTATTATAAAATTATTTTATAAAGATAAAGTAATGACTCGAGTAGGCATAGGGTCTCAGGGTTGGGCTTTTAATTTGGGTTATCAGAATTATCACAACCGTTTAGAAACACTGCAGTGAATATTAAAAATTTTTTGAGAACATTAAAATTTAAATTAAGCTGGTAAGATAATTAAATTTTGTCCAGTGGATCACGAGATATGCGCATTATACGTTTCACTGTTATAAAGTTGTTTTTTTTTTTTGCAAGGAAAATTTTATAATCATTAAATGTAAAATGCACATATTTTGTGATTTACCGGCCACATTTAATGATCTTACTAGCGTTATTTACCAGAGTTAGAATCGAATCGTAAAAGTATCTACAACTTTATTTAGAAGCCAAAGTCTGTTTAGTTTACCTGGTATCAAAATCGAATCTGCTTCCTGTTGCAAAAAGTTTTCATGCTTTGTTAAGTTTATAGCTTTGTTAACTCTATATCATTTCACGATATTAAAGTTTATTGCCTAAGGATATCAATTATATAAATTTAATATGTTCAAAGTCTGGTTTTCCCCTATAAAAAATTTTTTTATATTTATATTAATAGCAATATTAATGAGGAATCATATTAAAGTTGATACTGTATATATCGGAAATTTTAATCGAGGTTGATATTAGCGAGGGTTGATTGTAGTTAATTTTCTAATTATTGTCATTCTAACACTTAAATTAACTAGGACTTTAAAAATTATTATTCAAAAATAAAAAATTATGAATAACGTCAAGTGAAAATGAACATTAGGAACTTATCGAGTCTAACCCCTGATAAACGACATACGATATTATTAGAATCTTTAAGGGACTATCTTGAACTTTCAATATTTCCTATAAAACTCTAAATTATGGAAGTTGGGAAAGCTAAAAAAAAAAAAAAAAAAAAAAATTAAATATCAAACACATGCAACACCGGACAAGATTGACAATCTAAGCATTTTTGGACATAAATTTAAAGCCTAGGAATTGAAACCGTACGTATTTACATGTGTACGTGCATGTACGCCTTTTATCAAAAATTCATGACTAAATTATATAACATAATTTGTGTTCAATTAAACCAAAATCTTTTTGGTATATGAATTGAAACTGTTTACAATTTCAGCAAAGCTAAAATTGCGACCATCGTGTTACATGCATTAGCATATTTCTTTTACATTTATATATGCATAAAACTATTACATATAAACACAGTAAACAACGTATTAGTAGTAGTTTAATAACGTTACAAACGTGTTATTCTGATTGCAAATCTCGAAACACTATCAGAAATTATCAATGCAGATATGATCGAGGTTGTAGTATAAAAAATCAGGGATATGAAAATCTTAAAATCTTGATCCAAGAATCTTGGCATGCTGCAAGCGTTTTACAAGTGGAAATGTACGACGTTCCACGGGAATTATGAAAATTGATAAATAGTGATGCGCAAGAGATCATTCAACAATTTTTCTTCTTTTTCAGTTGTCTTGCACTAGTTTGTATAATAGAAAGATAAAAAAATGATATTAAGGTTTTCTTTACATTTTCGCTCCTTATTGGGAAGAACTATTATAATTGTCTTAATATTTACATTATCTTTATACATTCTCGATATATCGATGTTAATTGAATCTCCGATATCCAATATAAACGATGTCACTTTTAAATCGAACAAAGATAGTACTACTGTTACGCAAGTTGATCTAAAATTCACTCACACTATCAATTCTAACGCTAGTGCCACACTTCAGCAAGTTAATAGCACACAAATGAACGATACCGATGCCAATGACGCGAAAGCTGATAATATGCAAACTGATAATCGGGCCGATGATACTCAACTTAACGATAATGATACTAAACTTAACGTTAATGATGATACTAAACTTAATGATTCACTGGCTGATGATACTAAACTTAATGATTCATTGGCTGATGATACTAAACTTAGTAACACGCAGGTTGAAGATACTAAACTTAATGACACGCAGGTTGATAATACTCAACTTAATGATACGCAGGATGATAGTATTCAACTTAATGATATGCAGGTTGATACGCAGGCTGATACGCAGGTTGATACGCAGGCTGAGGTTGATACACAGGTTGATACGCAGGTTGATACGCAAGTTAGCGATGCTCAAAATAATGATACGGAGACTGTTAATACGCAGATTGATGAAATTCAGCTTAATGCGCAAGCTAACAACACACAACATACACAAGATACTCTAAATGATACACGGCTTAATGCTGTAATAATCGTTCTTGTTCGAAATTCTGAATTACACCAATTACGAAAAACTATGAGATCTTTTGAAGATAGATGGAATAAAAAATTTAATTATCCTTATGTATTTCTAAATGATCAGGAGTTTACTGATGAATTTAAAACTATGACAAGTGCCCTTACAAATGCTAATACTTCTTATGGTTGGTATAAGTAATTCCTCCAAATCTCTATATCAAAGATCTCTATATCAAAAGTCTCCTATTTATTTTACTGCTTATGTTTATAGGTTTAATACCAAAACACATGTGGGACTATCCATCATGGATAGACCAGCAAAGAGCTGCCGATACTCGTAGAGAGATGGGCTTCAGGCGTATCTTGTATGGTGATTCAGAATCTTACCGCCATATGTGTCGTTTCAATTCCGGTTTTTTCTTTCGTCACGAACTCATAGAAAAATATGATTATTACTGGAGATTAGAACCTGGCGTTGATTTTACTTGCGATATCGACTACGACGCTTTCAAATTCATTAAAGAGAACAATATTACTTATGGTTTTATTATTTCGCTTTTAGAAATAACTGAGACCATCCCTACTCTATGGAAAACTGTAATTGATTTCTTATATAAATATCCTCAGTATATTTCTGATGATAATTTTGCTAGTTTTATAACCCGGGATAGCATGGCTACTTATAATGGGTTTGTTCTTGATTATTTTATTCTCCTGTTATTTTATTAAAATATTATAATTCTCAAAAAATTCTTTTACTAAATAGTTGTCACTTTTGGAGTAATTTTGAGATTGGTGACTTGAATTTTTTTAGAAGCGAAAAATACCTCAAATTTTTTGATTTTCTAGATCAAGCTGGTGGTTTTTATTACGAACGGTAGATTATCATTATTAGTTAGTTAGAAATTTTTCTGAAATTCTTCTGAAATTCTTTTGGAGATTTAATTAATATGTACTACTTATTTCTTATTTTCATATACTTGCTAAAAAAAAAAAAAAGTTGGGGAGATGCACCAATTCATTCAATAGCACTACTTCTATTCTTGGAAAAATCAAAAATTCATTTCTTCAAAGATATAGGATACTCCCATCCACCTTTTCAGCATTGTCCAGTTGACTTAGCTTATCATAATTCTGGTAGATGCTTTTGCGATCCTGCTAGCAATTTTGGTATGTCAATCTATATGTATATGTATATTGTAGGTGGAAACTGTGTTTAAGTGGATTTGGAATTTCTTAATATTTTAAGGCTTTTTATAAATTTTAACTCAAATTTTTAAATTTATTAAGAAATTCCAAATTCACTTAAGTTTGGTTCTTACTTATAACATATATATTCAATAGATATATATATTTTTCTTCTCGACATTAACTAAACATTAAATCTTATTATTTATTAAATTATTTTTTCTATAATGTAGATTTCGAATGGGGTTCTTGCACTAAAGATTGGATTTAATGTATTAAATGTTAAATATTCGATATTCTTCACCATCCAATTTTGTATGTATAAAAACATTTTCAAAATTACAAAAATGCATAATTATAATGTAAAAATAAAAAAAAAAAACCAATTATTGAATATTTTAATCATTTACAAAATTAATTTATAAAAAAATTTGCAAGTATACAAATACTAATTAAAAAACAATATTAAAATATCTTTTGATAATATAAAAGTTGTTCACCTTGTAATTTAATTTTTTATGTTTGATATTTTTTAGTGACTTTAAATTCAAGTTTAATTTTTTTTGAATTTAGAAATTTATATAGAACTTTTATATATTTTTTAATGCTTGACTCTATTATTTCTTTGATTTATATTTAATAAAATTAGAATTATTGTATAGAATGTATAATTTCACGAATTCTATGCCAATAAACAAGTGAAAAAAGCCTGTAAAATGTGTTACTTATTACCTGATTTCTTACAAAAAATACACTACAACAATTAATACATATCCTTAAATTATTTATTTACTATATTAAGATTTAGTAATATAATATAGAGACTTAGTAATGCATTATCAATAGTTAAATTGATCAACATTAATATGTTAGTTAATTATCTTAAAATTATATTAATGATATTAAATCACCTAATAGAATATTTGGGCATTTTTGTAACAAAAATTAAGAGAAAAATTTTTCAAAAATATTTTTGTAATAATTTATCATTGTTCATTTACTTAAACATAACTGTTGTTTATTTATTACATAATTATTGTGAAAGCGATTACATCAACATCATGAAAAAAAGTGAAAAAGTGCAATGATGTATAGATAGTGATGAGAACCGTAAAATAAAGAATATTAAATATATGAATATTCACCAGTTTAAAATAATCTGTGGGTTATTTATATTATCTGTTCAATGTTTGGTCCGCATCACTATGTATAGATAATACTTCATAGTGATGGTAGATAGTACAGTCAGACCTCCTAAATGCAATGCGACGGGACCATATATAAAAATTTAGTAAAACGTGCATTTAGAGAGGTATTGCATTTAGGGAGGTAAAATCTATAGATGTAATATTAGTTGGGCCCAAGAGAAGACATGCATTTAGGGAGGTGTTTCATAGGACTGCACTTAGGGGGTAGCATTTAGGGGGTCTGACTATTTAATTGGAGCATTCGGAGTTCTTTAAATATTTGCTGAGCCTCATTTTAATATTGAGAATTCGCAAAAATTGATATTTTTTACTAAGATAGATATACCTAATGTGACGCAGTTTCTAATTTAATGCACAACGACATCTTGTGAACTATCGATCAGAATTATATAATTTTGGCGCCAATCGATTCGTCTCATCGAGACGAATTAAATGGTACCAAAATCATGCGATCCTGATTATTAGTTCTCGAGATACTCCATTTGGACAAATAATCCAAGACAGTTTACTTAATTTGACTCAGGCAAACATTTACAATCGATATCACATGATATATCGGTCAGAATTGCAAGATTTTGGTATCATTCGATTTGTCACATCAAGACGAATCGAAATCTTGTAGTTCTGATCGATATATCATGTGATATCGATCGTAAACATTTGCTTGCAATTAGGCACTACAACAAATTAAGAACATATTTTTTAGACAAACTTCATTGAATGATATCTCGCGATCCAGTGATTAGAATTAGATGCTTTTGATACCATTAGATTCGTCTCAATGAGATGAATCGAATGGTACTAAAATCATCTAGCTCTGGTCAATGTATCATTGATAGTATCGTAAATGTTACCTGCATCAAAATAGGAGTACGCACTTACCTTATGTATATACAGTCAGACCCCTAAATGCTACCCCCTAAGTGCACATCCTATGAAACACCTCCCTAAATGCATATCTTCTCTTGGGCCCAACTAATATTAGATCTATAGAGTTTTACCTCCCTAAATGCAATACCTCTCTAAGTGCACGTTTTACTAAATTTTTATATATGGTCCCGTCGCATTGCAT